CTTTGATCTTCTTCAGGACTACTATTTTGAATTATTTTGCCTGAAAGGTCACCTATCTCCATCACTACAAGATTTGTCAGTGGTACCTTATTTGGTTCATTTGGTGAAGACATGTCTTTTCTGGATGTTCTCGATGCTTACAGATGTTCACCGCATTGAAGAGGTAGGTATTTATTTTAATCTTAACTGTCTGGGGTTGTTTGAACCTGTCCTCCTTAAGAAGGCTTTCAAGATATTCAATATGATTTGAGGGTTGTGATCTAAGTCCTTGGTCACTACAGCCATATCAGCACTGGAGGTGCCCCAAACCCAGTAATGCTGTGACTCTTGGAGATTCCTAGTGGTACTGTCTTGGTGAGCCTGGATAAGATACAAGAGAATTCCCTGTGTTACCAGGCAAAATATCCCATTCTCTTTCCTCACTCTCTGTGCTGGGCTGCTGAAGTTGTGGAGGGAGTGACATGGGCACTCTCACAGGCCACCACAGCTGGAACTGTGCCAGATCACATGTGAAGTCAGCCCAGTGTCACCCAAAGCCCATGGTGACTATTGCCCAGCTACTTATGATGTTGATTCAAAGCCTAAGGGCTTTTTATATAGAAAGTAGTGAATTCTCCCAGGATAGGTCCTTCCTTTCAGGGAAGCATGTTTCCTTCTGCCTCAGGGTGGGTATAGAAATGCCATTCAGGAACTAAGGCTTATAATTAAAGGCTTCATGAGTCTGCTTGGTACTTTATTTACTGTGGCTGAACTGGTACTCAAGTTGCAAAACAAAGTCCTCTGGACTCTTCCTTTTTTGAAACTATCCCTGAGCTGTATTGCTGGAGTTGGGGAGAGAGGCGACAGAGTCACCAGCTTGGTCCACACTGCTGGTGTCTCACTGTGTTACATGCACTCCAATCCATTGGCTCCAAGACAGCACAGCCACAGGAACTCCCCAAAGATCGCAGCCTATGGGGCTTGGCTGCCTAGTGAATTTATTTCAGGCTCCAGGTTGCTTTTTGTCAGCCAGTGGTGGGGCTAGCCAGAACTTAGGTTTTGGGGCAGAGGATTTATCTTTGGCTGGACTGATCTAAATGCTCCCTTCATGGTGCCACCAGAACTCTGCCCTGTGTTGTGTTTTCCTATGACAGGTCATCAGGTTTCAATGCAAAGTGCCACTATAACTTCACTCTCCTTCACCCAAGCACACAGATTCTCTCTCCACTTGGCATGCTGGCATGGAGGAAGGGTGGCATGGGCAACACAAGACTGTCTGTTCTGCCCTTTTCAGTGCCTCTCTCCTTGATATAATGTTAAAAGCAGGCACTGTGATTGCTCACTTGATTGTTGGTTCTTCTGATGGTACTTCCATGGATAGTTGTTGGATTTGGTCTTTGTACAGAGGGACAATTGCTGGAGGTTTCTGTTTGGCCATGTTGCTCTGCCCCTTCTTTTCTTTATATCCAGAGGTACTTCTTATACTACTGTACCTCACTAAAAACCGCTATGTCACATGATAATTATGTGATTTGGAGTAAATATTAACTTCTCTCAGCCACCTTATGATTTGTTAAATGGATTTTACTGAATATGGAAGGTTAATTAACTGAGATAGTACATCAAAATCATTTTGCTTATCACACATCAATATATGTCTTCACTGTAGTATTTCCAATTAGGTATAAAAATTTAGAACCTCAAAGCATCAAATACTTGCTATACATGTTAAAAAAGAAAAGGAAAAGATTAAGGACTTGGATATAAAGCAGAAAAGACACAGCCTACGCCTTTCTAAATATTTAAAATTTACTGACTATACAATAAACATTTTTTACTATCTCTTTTGTATAAGAATCTGTGAGTTTAGAATAATATTATAAGGACTAATATTTTTAACAATTTAACATTTATTGAGTGTTATAATAAAAAGTTGTGTATATCTGACTCATTGACTCAATATATTTTTCAGACAATTTTAAAATAAATTTGGCATTTTTTCACATTTCCAAATCAAACTACTTAATTACATTAAATACATAGTCTATTTTCTGGATCAGCAACTTAAAATAATGAAAATTAGATAACACTTAACTAAGAAAACAGAATAAGTGGGATTATTTTACATTAAGAAAGAAATATAATCTAAATCTAAGTCACTATAAGATGATCTAGAAACTAATAATTTTTAAAGATAATTAAAAATATTAAACTTTTAAAACATATTAAAATTTACCAGTGAATAATCTCAGGTCATTATCAAACAATCAAACATCTAGCATGTTAAATATTATCAGAATGGGCCAGGAGTCCCTTTGAAATGAGTATTTGGCATGTGGTATCACTCATCCTATTTGTAATTTAAATCCCAAGAATCTCTCAAGGAGATAATATTAAAGGAACAATTTGACAGAGGTTGAGAACTGATGCTAGGATTAAACTAGAAAATCTTTGTGACATACCCTAGGGAGGATAAAATTTGTCCTTAATAGGAAAAAGTGAAAGTGTTTGAACATAATCCAAGGAATTAGCTTGGTGGAAAAGACAATCTAGGGCTCAGTACTCTAAGATGCAGTTTATGTACTTCTAAAAATTTGAAAACTATGAAATTAGGTCTTGAATTTCTTTAGGTAAAGCAATATTTAGAAAAAAAAAAAACTACAAGGACAAGTAAGATATAATTGTAGCCCTAGAGATACTGAGAAAAAATAGAAGAAAACCACTGTTTGGATTCCAATCTTTAATTTTTAAACCATAATAACGATTGTTCGCAACAGTTAGAAGGAAATGATGTCAAACTCAGTAACTCAAGGAGTGTCACTTTAAGTTGAAGTTAGGCTCAAGAGGGTGGGTGAGGATCTGTAAAATACCTGGAAAACCAAAATGTCTGCACAGAACATATAAGTCAATTTGGAATCTGTAAGAGATTTTATTAAAAAGAAGTTATTAAAAACAAGCACCACATATACTCACCAGCAAACTGGTATTAACTGAGCAGCACCTAAGTGGACACATAGGAACTACAGTAATTGGGTATTGAGCAGATGGGAGGGGGAGGGGGCAAGTATATACATACATAATGAGTGAGATGTGCACTGTCTGGGGGGATGGTCACGCTAGAAACTCAGACTTGTGGGAGGAGGGGGGAAAGGGCATTATTTGAAACCTTAAAATTTGTACCCCCATAATATGCTGAAATAAAAAAAAAAGAAGTTATATGGGCTGAAAGTCCAGAAATTTGATGGAAGAAGGTATATTTTGTATATATTTTATACAGCAAAGAATATTGCTATTTTTGAATATTGCTTTCATTGCCCCCATACTGAGCTCTTGAATAACTAAAAGCCTCCAAGGCAGAAATAATGCAAAGAATTTAATTAGAAATAAAAAGATAATTTAAATATTCTAATTTCACATTTGTTCATAAAAACATAAAAATAAATATAGGAATTATTATCCACAAAGTTCTGAATTTGGCAATTCAGACGCTTGTAGATATGTGGCAAAAAAACTGAATTTTTTAATAAAATAATTTCTTTGAAATAATAATATATCGGTAAGAAAATATTGACAGAACTTCTAAAACAAGAAAAAAAAACCTGTGCAGAATTATAATTGTCTAGGATACCCATTGTTATGAGTTAAATCATGTCTCCCAAAATTCCTAAGTTGAATCTCTAACCCCCCATACCTTAAAATGTGACTGTATTTGGATACAGATCTTTCAAAGAGGTGATTAAGTTAGAATGAGGCCATTATAGTGGGCCCTAATCCAATCTGACTGGTGTCCTTTTGACAAGAGAAAATTTAGATGCACACAGAGATACCAGGGGTGCCTTTGCACAGAGAAAATACCATGTGAGGACACAGTGAGAAGGCAGCTATCTTTATGCCAAAGAGATAAGTCTCAAGAGAAACCAAACCTGTTGACACCTTAATCTTGGACTTTTAGATTTCAGAACCCTGAAAAAATAAATTTCTGTTGTTTAAGCCACCCAGTCTGTGGTATTTTGTTATTGCAGCACTAGCAAACTAATACACCAACGAACAGTTGATCCTCTTTTTATTGGATATTGTGTTCTATAAGGTTGCCATAAACACTTAATTAGCAAATAACTAAACCATTGCTTTGAGTGAACATAAAGAGTTGGTTACGTTCCTATAAGCCTCTGGTCACTGAATTTCATCAACTGATCAATACAATACATTATTTTAGGTTTGTTCCTGTATAAGGACAACTTATTTAATATACAGTTGATCCGTTAACATTCAATTTACAGTCAACAGCAGTATAACTCATGCCTGAACAAAGTTTACCTAACATACCTATTATTTCTGTAAGGCACCTCTCAGCCAGTTCTTGAGATTAGGAATGCTAGATAGCACTTTAGCATTATGCTTGGGGAACATTTTAACATTGAAATCACCAACAAAAAGCACATAAATGTGAAAAATGCAGCACTAAATAGACCATGAAAAGGACACTTGTGCATAGTATGAGAGCTGAAGCAAGAAGGCAGAGCATCACCTTATTCATACTCAGCTGCAAACATGCATATTGGGTGACTCAAAGTTTTTGTCACTATGTGCATGTCCATAAATGACTGCAAAAGCACTGAGAATATTGATTTGGGGGTTACAAATAAACCTTAGCAAGTAAGCAAATTCAAAAATATAGAATCAATGAATAATGAGGATGAACTATTGTGCGAATATTTTCTCCTTAAATGCTTCCTTGCAGTCTCACATCTATCTCCTATGTCACATAACTTTCACTTTACTTAACCTACCTACCATATCATGTCTCCATGAGAAGTAAGTCTGCTGTTTAAAAAACAACTAGTATTCAGTTACACACTATTGTTAAGTGGATAAATTATTGGTACAAAATCAGGTTACTCACTTCAATTTATTTTTAGTTTACATTGCTTGTGGCCCTGACACCTACAGGAATATGGCGGAGGGTTTTAGGCTCAGCTTTTGCTTTTGTTCAGGCCTGTATTGTGCATTCTTAAACTCACCTTTGGAGCCAAGTAAAAGAAGCTTCTTGGAACTTTGAAAGTTTCTGAAACACACATTACTGGTTTTTGTTTTTTTCTGAATTCCACAATACATAGCTGCCAAGAAAAGAGCAAATTATAGAATAATCAATAGATCTCAACACAGACAATAGGTATTAGCTGTAAGACTGCAGACATAAAGACATCACTCCAACATACATTTCGTTTGAATTTATTTATTTCAGCTTTATTATTGTTCTTAGTGCAACTGTGTTCTGATACTCTTATTGATCTTTTGCTTGTATATTTTATAGCAAGTGTTATTCAATAAGAGCATTCAGTTATTTCATATGGATTCTAGTTCTTCTAAGTAAAATTGCATATTATTAACCTTTTTTAAAGGTTTTAATTTTTTTTCCACTTTCTTTAAAAGTTATAAAACTATAATCATTAGTGTGGTTTAATCTCTCATACAGGTAACTTAAAATGGTATTTTTTAATCATGATCAGCTCTTTTTGGAACCATTGGTATATCTATCTCAGGCTTGTATTTTCTTGAAGTCTTTTAAATTAGAAAACCTATTCAATAGTAATTTTATTTTTGAGAAGTTAAATGTGAGATTCAAAGATAATAAAATCCGCTAGATGATGGATAGCAACCAAAACAAAAAACAAAACACAGAAACATTTTGAGTCTACTAAGCCCTCACTCAAATACCAAATACTTCTACCTTTAAATAAAAGTATAGTTAATTGTTTCTGAAAACAGATTCTGATTTATAATTTTCTTACAATTAAAAACATATATATCTATAAATGAATATAATTACAATTTTCATGTTATTATAATATGAACATATATTCATATGTAAATATAATATAAACATTGAAAATAAGCATTAAATGATGTCTATGCATTTAAGAATTAATAAAAATATCACCAAATTATGGAATGAATTGCTTTATTAATCAATTTTAATATCAAAAAAGGAAATTATAGTGGGAATGAAAGTGGTCATTACAAATAATTATTTCAATAAACTGTGGGAATTGTTTGCTTCAAAATTTATGTGAATGTTCCCTTTACTTCTTAAATTTTAATTTGACTTCTTCACTTTTTCCAGTGAAGCCAGACAAATTATACCAAATTCTTTTCTTTCTTTAAGAAGAGGGATGCAGTATTAAATAAGAACATACTAATTGTCACTGTGTCAAGTCTTCTTTCCCTGTGGCACGTTTCTTACCTGAGGTCTACTCAGCAGGCTCTTTACTATTCTCGTATGTTCCATCTTTTATTTATATACGGAACTCTGTAGATTAGTCTACTCAGCTGCTCCCTACAGTGATCTTTTTGTCTGCTCATTTGTTTTTGAGAGAATCTCACTCCATTGCTCAGGCTAGAGTGCAGTGGTGTCAACCTAGCTCACAGCAACCTCTAACTCCTGGTCTTAAGCAATCCTGCTGCCTCAGCCTCCCGAGGAGTAGCTGGGACTACAGGTGCGTGTCACCACACCTGGCAAATTTAATTTTTTGTCTATTTTTAGTAGACAGGGTCTTACTCTTGCTCAGGCTGGTCTTGAACTCCTGATCTCAAGCAATCTTCCCGCCTGGGCCTCCCAGAGTGTTAGGATTACAGGAGTGAGCCACCACGCCCAGCCCCTATAATGATCTTTGGCTTACTCTTTAACCATGGACTCCCACATCCAAGGTCCATAATATGATCCAGGTGAAATAAAGCTATTATCAGAAAGAAACAAAATTAAGACTTAACTAGGACCCACATTGTCTCTAAGGCCAAAAAACAAAAGACAAGGCTTTCCCTAAAGGTGGAACAACACAAGTGCCTGGTCCCTTTTCCTGGTTTCCTGTAACATCATTGTCCCCGACTCTACTCTTAGTAATAGATCCCCATTGTAATGCAGTCAAACATACTCCTCCATTTCTAAAGGATCTGCTGTGCCTTGCCTTTTCTAATGAAAGCCCATAGAAATAGGGAAATCTGCTCACCAAATTTTAAACTTGTCTTCTGCTGATCATTGTCATTGATATTCATTGTATCCAACTGGATCAGTGACTATTCCAAATTTTAGTAGATCCTAATAGGGCCAACCCTAAAAAAAAAAAAAATTGAGACTTTCCTAGTGCATGGTAACTACAGCTTTTTAAGTTTTAAGACATAGAAAATAGCCTAAGAAATTTAACATTCTTGTTTTTTTTTTTTTGAGACAGAGTCTTGCTTTGTTGCCCAGGCTAGAGTGAGTGCCGTGGCATCAGCTTAGCTCACAGCAGCCTCAAACTCCTGGGCTCAAGCGATCCTCCTGCCCCAGCCTCCCAAGTAGCTGGGACTACAGGCATGTGCCACCATGCCCAGCTAATTTTTTCTCTATATATTAGTTGGCCAATTAATTTCTTTCTATTTATAGTAGAGACAGGGTCTCGCTCTTGCTCAGGCTGGTTTCGAACTCCTGACCTCAAGCAATCCGCCTGCCTTGGCCTCCCAGAGTGCTGGGATTACAGGCGTGAGCCACCGCGCCCAGCCGAAATTTAACATTCTTTAAAGACTTCATTTGTTTCTTGGCATTACTATATTTTGTCTCTTTTTACATTATAGGAAAAGATAAAATGTAGACATTTTATATCAAATATTTAATGTTAGAGATGTAAAAATAGTTTTTGCCTTTGTCTGAAATCAAATCTATATTGTAGCTTTAAATGTTTATATTTTACATTTGGTCTTGATTTTTTAATAGGTTAAATGTAGCATGTGATTTAATATAGGAAGTTTCAGCCTGGTTAATTAAAAAGAAAATGCAATACTGGGGTGATAGCTGTGGGGAAAGATATTTGGCTGGAAAATGGGTTGTGGATGTCAGGATGTTACCTGGAACTAGGAAGGGAGGGTTTGGGATGGCAGACAAGCAAGTTATTTAAAGCCCACTCTTGCCAGATTGGGGTAAATATGTAGATGCCTGGGCTCCATTGTTCATAAAAATGAATAATTCACTTCACCTTCAGTTTTGTCATTCAGATGCTTACTGGCTATTTTCTTTGAATATTTACCCTCATCATCTATTATATTGTTCAATATTTCAAAATATGTGATCAATAATCAGTCGTGATTTTTGACTATGTTAGTTAACATAATATATATTTCTGATAAACAAAATAGGAAAAGATAAATATTTCTTTTAATAGAAACACATCCAGCCAAAATACAGGGTTTTTTTTTTTTTTAATTGCATGAAATAGATTTAAATTACCTGGCAGCTTTAAAGTCTTGATGACACCCAGGAGACAGTTTGTCATAGTTTCATGGGTACCCAAAAGTTGGAAGACTTTTCAACTTTCCTAAGTTATTTTCCCAAATATTTCTTGCAATCAGTATTTTGGAAATTATTGAGTAACAATAGATTCAGGATTGCATACCTTAAATATCAGTAATGCAAACACTTAATGTTGCTGGTTAAGACTGCTATGATAAATCCTGGAAATTAGGATGACAGTGTTGTATCAAAGTTTCAGAGCCCATTGAACATGTTTACCTAAATAGAAGACCACACAACTCCCACATCTATGACATGTAAATGCTGATGATTGTGAGCTAGGATATACTAATGCACTCCTCTTTTGTATATTTAGCAGTCTAAATCATCATATCTTGTCTGAAGTGTCACATTGAAATATTGACATAAACTCGACATGTCCAACTCAACTAAATCTTGATTTCTCTCCTTAGCTACCTCTTCACATTCCACTTCATTCTGGTAAATCATAGCACTATTCTATCTGTTTCTTATTCAGGAAACCAATGTGTATTCATGTTTTTTCTTTGTTGTTTACATCAAGCATGATCAGGTAAATCAGATTTTTCACATCATCAACATATCTCAAAATTACCCAGTTCACAACCAGGATCCTGGCTATAGTCGTTGTTATTGTTCACCTGGATTAACACGGTAGTTTCATAATGTATCATCCACATCTGCTCTTGGCCCTGCTCTAATTATTGTCCATATACATTAAATGTCATAGTTTTCCCCCAAAGATTACTCACCATGCTATACAAGCCTGTATTTTACTTCATTCTCCTTTCTGTTCACTGCATATCATTTAGTTTTCAGCTAAAGCTTTAGCTCCTATGAGAATCCTTCTTGATCTTTCTTCCTGGGTCCTTTCCCTCTGTCAGCTGTTAATAGCACCATGCATCAACCTTCTAGAGACATTCTAGCATTGCCCTTTTATACTGATACTGACTGTATTATTACTTAACATTTATCCTTCCCATTAGATCAAACTCCACAAGAACAGGATCATGTCCAGTAGACATATTTGACCTCAGTTCCAAGAACATCTGGCTTTTGGTGGACGTTCTAAAAATATGTGTTAAACGAATAAATACATATCTCATAAGACTTCACATAATCTAGTCATTATCCAACTTCATTATGTGTTTCTTTTTCCTTTGTTCACTCTATTCCAGTCACACTAGGTTTCTTTCACTTGCTGGAAGGTTTTCCCATCTTGGGATATTCCAAAGGCTGTTACTTCTACCTGGAATGTTCTTTCCACAGTTCTAGACATAGGTGACTTCTCATCCTTCAGTGGTGGCCTACAACAGGTAACTTTCTTAGTGCCCACTGTCTGTGGGCCCACCTTAGTGCCTATCTTCATAGGTTTGTTCCTCTTCTTTGTTATTCAAAATCACTGATGTATTTTTATTTTCTTCATGTTGTTCATCACAATTGTAATTCATATTTATTTGTTACCTATGTATTCTTACCTCCTCTCTCCAATATGAGCTTCCTACGGAGAACAAAAGTATTTTATTTACCAAGATACATTCAGAATCTAGCACAGTTTCAGGAATGTAAGAACTTAATAAATATTCTAATAAATAACAAATCATAATGGGATAGGAAACCCTGGGGTCAGGTTTAAGATTTTCCTCAGTTAACATATTGAGATCTGCCTTATCCAATGTTTGAATAAGTCTAAGCAACAGATCATGGTTTAAATATTTTAAGTCTAAATAATTTTAAAATAGGTTTCAGAAAATGCCCACTTCAGCCATGAAAAAAAAAAATAAAAACACATCCATAGAGTATCCAACATTAAGCAAGGTCATTTCTGGTGAACTTTTCAAAGTAAGTTGAGCAGAGAAAATGGTATACCTTCAGATAATTAAATATAGTGGCTTACTTTACAGCATTTTTTTTAACCCAAAAACTAGTTCTATGTTTGGGGAAATAGTATTTTTCTCCAGAATAGTTTGAGGCCCTTCTTTTCAGCAAGTTTTAGATTATAATATCTGTTATTTCTTAAAGTTGTTGAGAATCAGTAGTGCCCCTGTTTTTTAAAACTCAGACATATATGGATTCTAATCCTATTTCTATGCTAATAAATTCCTAATTAGGTTTGGACAATTTATTTAACATTTTTCAGTTTAAAATGAAAAAAAATTACCTCTTCTGTAAAATTAGGTAACATTAGTTATAAGATGTTCACCATCTCTTCAACTTATTATCATAAACTAGTGTCAACTGCATAGAGAAAAAATCTTATCTTTTGCTTCTTTATGACAAGACCCAGGCAGAGAAGGACTAAATGGTGGATTAGCTGGGAAGATTTCTGGAATGCCAACCTATGGATGATACTAACGTTTCTTTGGAACACTAAATATTCCATACTGGATATGTAGAAAACTCTATCAGAACATATCTCAGAGCTGCTTCCTATGTGTCAGGCCATGTTAAAAGCTTTTATTTATTTATTTTTTCCCACGGACTCCTTTACTTAATTTACTCTATACAATGAATACAAGTAGGAAGAATGCTTTGCTTAGCCACCTGGGGCATGCTGAAAAGCTTTCTAAATAAATAGTGTTCATCCAAATGTCAGGTTTTATTGTGGTTGTGTGGGATATGCAAGTCTAGGGCAAAAGTAGAATTCTTAGGGACAATGCATTATAAGAGAATATTGATGCCAGTGATTCTATTCAATTTTTCCCTTCTGCATTGCTTGGTCTCTGTTTTAAATAAGTGTTGAGTAAATATTTAAATAATAATGTTTATGGGGGGCACCAGATTATTAGTCTTTCTAATACATTTCATTAATTGACCCAGTTTTGGATGTATGTGGCTAATTCATACAATAATGTTAGCAAATCACTAAAAGCAAACTTTTAAAAAGGTTTATATCATATATTCATATTAAAAGGTTATGCTAAATCAGATTATACCATTATTTACCAACTAAAAAGTTATTATAGTATTATTAACAATCCCTACTTTTAGAATAAAAATGGAGATCATTTATAAATATCAAGAGTGAGTTCTGGAATAGAGTTCACTAGGCTTAGTTTGTAACTGATTCCTGTTAATTAAGAAATTCAACAAAAGACACCACCACCCATTTTAGATATTTCCACCTAGATTTGAAGAATGCAACAGCTGTCAGTATAGAGACATATATGCTCCTCATGTAAAATATTGGTCTGCAAATCTCCATTTAGCAAAGTAGAAAAACATTCAAAATTTAGAAGGAACATATATTAAGAAGGCATATTTATGGTTTAATGCAAGCAAAAATTTACATAAACAACTTATCTTAAAATATTTTACTAATACGTTTTCCTCTAAGGAATTCTTAACAGACTTGTGTTTATGGAATCAAATTTATTCGTTGAAATTATAGAAGACCATATTTGTCTTACCAAAAAATTTTAAAATCATTAAAATAATTTGTTTTATTTTGAAAGTGTTTATAGTTTTTATCTCTGATTAATATCATTCATTTAATTCAAATGTTTCCGGATGTAAAACTATTTATGCAATAATAATAAAGCAGATTTTTTGATATAACTATAAATGCTTATAGTAGAAGAAAAAAAACTTTTCTAAATTTAAAATGTTTAATAACCTATAAACACAATAAGAAATGAGAGCATTTCATTGTTTGTGTTTTGTTGCTAAGACACAATGTTTAGATGTAAATTACATAATAACACAATGATTAAAATGTTATCAACTTTAGTGGGCTTCCTCTGGTACTTAATGTGATAATCTCCTTTCATATACTCTTTGTGACAGTGAATCTGCACAAGAAAGTTTAGAGACCATCATGATTCATCTTTGATAAATAAGGAAGCTGAAGCTTAGTCTAAATAGCTTACCAACAGAAATAAGCTAGTGAACAGTGAACAGTCAAGATGAATGAGGAACCATTGGCTGTTACCCCAAAATCTGTCTCCCAATCAGTTTGCTATACCATGTTGTAAATTTGTTATTTAATGACCATTTATTAAGATGTCATAACAAAGAGAATTCTTATAGAAAATATGAGGGGGCTTCAAAAAGTTCATGGAAAAATGAAATTAAAAGATAAAAACAAAAAATATAAACTTTATTTCTCAACACAAGCTCCATCAAGGTCAAGACACTTCTGTAAACAATGGCACTGCCATTTAGTCTATCCCTAAAAAATAGAAGTTCCTGGGAATTTAACCATGTCAATGCAGTCCTTTTTATGCTGTTAACTGAAGAAATACATGTACCCTTTAAAGATATTTTTAAGATTAGAAAACAAGAAGAAGTAAAAAGGAGCCAAATCAAGACTGTAAGGTGGATGTCTCATGATTTCCCATGGAAATTCTCACAAAATTGCTCTTTTGATGAGAGGAATGAACTAGAACGCTCTCATAGTGGAGGAGGACTCTCACATAAACATTCCCTGGGCATTTTTCTGCTAAATCTTTTGCTAACTTTCTCAAAACACTCTCCTAATGTCAAGTTTCAGTCTGAAATGTTGGTTCTTGGCACGCTCATGGCTGAAGAATGACCAGCCCAACCAAGTTAGGCAAGCATGAAAATCAGGTTTATTGAGGAGAGAAATATAGGATTATAGAGCAAGAGCAAGATATATGTTTACAGAGAATGGTATATACACCACAGATAATGAACAGACCCACTGTTGCAGCAAAAGGACAACCAAAGGAAGGGCACAGAAAAAGAGAGAAGTTGTCTATGGTCTGTGTCACATTTTATAGTGCCTGGATAGGGACTCCCCTCATGGTTCAGAGATCACCATGATCACTTTGATTGGACAGTTGGGAGTCACATGACCCGAGTCTCAACTATGCATGTAGGTTGTTCCAGGTCAATTTCCGGACTCTATGATCCCTATGCCTCTTGGCCTGTGGACTAGCGAGTCCTTTGCATTCTTTTGTAGCTGATGCACCAAGTTCTGATTGGCAGATTCATAGGGTATTTCTTCCTCCCCCAGGTATGAAGAATTAAGGTGAGGCAGGACAAAGATGGGGACAACAGTACCCACTTTCATCCATAGGAGACCCGGAATCCCTCACTATCTACCTAACAATAATAAGATGTTATGGTCTTTTGGCCCTCCTGAAAGTCTACAGGCGAATTGGCCTTGAGCATCCCAAAATAATGTAGCCATGGCCTTTGCTCTTAACTGGTCTGCTTTTGTTCTGACTGGACAACTGTCACTTATTGCCTTGGTTGTGCTTAATCTTCAAGGTCATACTGGTAAAGTCATTACTTAATCTCCCGTTACAATTCTTTGAAGAAATGCTTCAGGATCTTGATCCTATTTGTTTAAAATTTCCATTGAAAGGTCTGCTCTTGTCTGTAGCTGATCTGGGCAAAACAGTGTTGGTACTTATCAAGTGGAAAGTGTGCCACATTAATTTTTCAGTCAGAATTGTGTAAGCTGAAAAAATTGAGATATCTATGGTGTTGGCTATTGTTTGTCCTGTTAATCATCAGTCCTCTTCAATTAGGGCAAGAACAAGATAAAGTTTTTTCTTTCAAATTAACATGGATGGTCTGCTGCTGTGGGCTTCATCTTCAACATTGTCTCATCCCTTTTTAAAATGAGTTATCTGTTTGTGAACTGCTGATTTCTTTAGGGCATTGTTCCCACAAACTTTTTGTAAAGCATCAATCATTTCACCATTCTTCCAGCCAACCTTCACCATAAATTTGATGTTTGTTCCTGCTCCAATTTTAACAAAATTCATGTTGCTTGTAGGGTATCTGTTCAAACTGATGTTTTATTTTTTTTAGTGCCTCAAACTAGACCCTGTTCAGACACATTATAAGAAGTTGGTACAAATTTATTTGCTGCAAAAAAACCCCTTGAAATCCATGCATAGTTTTTTCATAGTATGTATTTACCATGAACTTTTTGAAGATTCCTTGTATTCTTATCTATATATAATACATATATAGATAACCCATAAGAAATACATTGTATTTAGTAATACATTGTCTCAAAATTTATCATATATGCTTAAATGTGTAAATTTTAATATTCATTTTTATTCATTTATATATTAATTCTTTTTAGTAATTTCTTCATTTATTTCATGATATAAATTAAGCACTTCTAAAATTCCAGCCACTATGCTAAATATTATTCTTGTTTTCATGTTTCCTAGAATAAAGGGCAAGAAGATATTCTATAAACTCAGAAAATAATTTTTAAACATTTGCTTGACTGAACTTGTACAATTTTTTTAGTAAATAGACTGAAACAATATTAAACTATTTTTGGTGGTGGTTGTTACAAGGCTGTCATAGCACATACGTTTTGGGGAAAAATTATTCACAGAAATTTTGCTACACATACTATTAGGACATTTGTTTATTTTTTGCTACTTCTTGTTTGTTTTAATTTACAAGTAACCATCTCAGCAAACTAGAGAAAGATTATAAGATATGCATTATAGATTAAAGTCATCTCTTTGAATCTCCAAATATTTAGACGAGGACAATATTCAT